ACATTGGTTTTGCTTTGTTTCACAGAACTAATCGTTGCCTGGGTTGTGTACGTATGTGTGGGGCGGAGCTATCAAAATAGGGGCGAGACCCTTTTGGGGTAGGGGTGTTTGTTTTGGTGATTTCAAATGTCAACATTGGCTACCAGAAATCGCTTACCCCACCTTTAAGGTAGTAGCTGTTTTTAATACATTGTAGCATTACCAGTAAGATGTTTGTTTACTCAAATAGCAGTGCAGCATGATAGCAAGCTACATTCAAGTTTTTGTCACATTATACTGAATATTAAGTGTTTCAAATCTGCAGTCTAAGGCAATAATAAAAATTGTTACAGAATGTCCTTTTTCTCTATAGCATTAATATGTTTGTTAATAAATGTACTTGTTCAGACAGAGCATTTCAATTAAACTACATATTAAGCTAGTTCGTAACATTAAGAAATTTATACTTTTATTTAGCAAGGATGTTTTAAATTTATCAAAATACTCTTGTTAAGTAAATGCTGTTCTTTTCTACTTTCTATTCATCAAAGAATCCTGAAGATATCATGGTTTTCACAAACATTAAGCAGCACAGTTTAATGTTTTCAAAATTGATAATAATAATAAATGTTTCTTGAGATTTCTGAACGATCATGTGACAATGAAAACTGGAGTAAAGGCTGCTAAAAATCCAGCTTTACCACCACAGGAATACATTACATTTTAAAAGTATGAAAATAATAAACATTTTAAATTATTAAAAAATATATATTTTTCAATATTACTGTATTTTTAATCAAATAAATGCAACTTAGGTGACAATAAAAAAAAAAAAAACTTGTTTCAAAAACATTAACCACATTTTACTGGCCCCAAACTTTTGAACAGTTATACGGTCTTAAACAGATTCAGCTATAGTTTTGCTACTATGTGCTAATAACATAAAGCCTCATGGCTGTAGTTTAACTACTGATACTAGCATAAAAACAATGACAAAAACAGTGAGTAGCCTACTTGTAGTTAACCACCCACAATTAATTGGCACTCTTTAGTTTAAGGCCTCTGAGGTGAAGGATGAGACCATTAACTGCTGACAAAATTTGTAATGGAGGAACTCAGAATCTATTGATTTATCATCCTACTCAACCCACCACACTGGATTAATGTTTTACTCCAGACACCCTTTTGTTTTAAACTGAGGTTGAAATGGAACGACTGCGATATTATCGACCAGAGAATGTGTAATAAAAGTATTTCAGAGGTGATTTACACCAAAATAATTCATGTATACCCAGAAGCAACATACACATGCCCCCTCATATTTTTGAGCCAAGTGGATTTTGAATGCAACTCCTCAAAAAGACATCAAATATTTAAATTATCTCTCTTTTTTTTTTTTTTTTTACCTGATGATGACTTGTTCATAGGGCTCATGAAACCATCTCCATCAGTGGTCTTTGGATTCCTCTCTCCGAGAAAGACAGTTGGGTCAGCGCTATAGCGTTGTATAACGCAGTCGTCTCCTGAGCCGGACATGGGCTGTTTCTTCAAACTCCCATTACACTGTTGTTCCTCAAGGGCGTCGAGACCCGCACCTTGTGTGCTTCCAGGGATGAAGACGCCACTCCCTGATCCAGAAGTTTCATGGGAGCAAGCCCCCATCCCATCTTCTGGGCTAAAAACTCTCTCACGACACCTCAGTTGTGTCTATATAGGGGAATAAAAATAAAGTTTGGATGGATCATCCACCTTAGGTGTCTAAATCTAAGTCTTATAATGATACTGTTCAATTACAAATAAAAAGGCAGTTGAAAATTGTAGGGGGTGTCACTGGTAGAAAACAAAATGTTGTACTAAAACCAGAGTAGATAGGACAGGCTGTCTTAGTGCATGTGGAAAGGAGTGTTTTTGTCTCTCTCATGTCGTCCAAATGTAAGTGTTTTTGACCCAGTATAAAAAAAAAAATATATATATATA